CGCCCCCTGGACCTCTCGTCTGGACAACCGCTTTCCACTACTCGCAGAGTAACTACTCTACTCGCAAATGGCCTGGATTCGCCGCGGGGGATCTACCATCCATGACATTGGGGCACACGTTTGCTTGGTTTCCGTCCGCTCGCGAGTAGGCACCTTGCGAGTAGTGGAACGCGCTGGGTGATTTTCTCTTCGAGGACCCGTGTTTCCATCGTGCTGATCTGTGCAGGCAGGAGGGTCCTTGCCTTCTGAAAAGCTTCCCGCCTTTTCAGGAGTTCTGTGTTCGATCATGGAGCCCTTGTGAAATTTGTTCGTTCAGCTTCCGTGCGGAAGACAGCCAACGACTGGCGATCGCAACCTCAGACCTCCGACAGACCGCCGCTTGCCGCCGAGCGACCGCCGATTACCTCTGCTGGCTGATGGGTAGCACGGGGTCCCCAGACCCCCGACGTTCTTGATTTTTGTCACCACGTGGACCGCCAGAGGTATCGACCTCTTCCCCTGGGCCAACTTCTCACCCCGAGTTGTTTTTTGGCGGTGCGCGGGCCTGTCGAGAGCCTCCAGAGGTCGAAGACGTCCAAAAATATTCTGCTATGCTTTATTCACGATCTGAGGGGGTCTGAGATGAACTTCACAAGTAATGGGGAGGCTGGTTAGGGTGGGCATGTTTTGAGCTGTCTTGGAGGGTTCCAGTGGGGTCTGGACAAAAGGCCGCCCTTTCAGGGCTGGTCTGGAGGTGGTCTAAAATTGCTCGTCTGGGAGGGCTGTGACATCCTTCTTTTTATTATGACATGCGGACTAACAAGGGGCCCATGGCAGGGACAATTTCGATCCGATCGATTCGATTCGATTCGATATGGGTTTCGGTCGGCCGCATCCGATTCCGTTTCGATGTTCAAACGATCCAGTGCACCCCGATGTTTGCATGGCGCTGCTGTTGATCCTGGCGCAGCCGATCCGCTCCGACCCCGACTCTGGGCGGAAGCAGCTCCGATCCGATGCGCATCTCGGTCCGATCCGATTTGCCGATCCCATGCGCCCGCCCCTCGGGGGCGGCGACGGCAGCGGCGGCGCCTTCGCCGGCGGCGGCAACGGCGGTGGTGGCGGCGGCCGCGGCGGTCGTCCTCGTCGTCCTCGCCGTCCGCGTCGGCGTCGTCGATCCTGCCCATGGCCGTCCCCCCCCTCGCGCCCCCACCCTCCTCAGAGAGCTTGTGCCCGCCGCCGAGGCGGAGCCCAGCGCCATGCCATGGGGGAGGCGCCCGCCGCAGAGCAAGCAGGCGCCAGGGGGGAAGGGCCAGCCACGCGCAGAGGGGGGTACGGTAGGGTCATGCGGCGACGTGGCGCCGGCGACGCCAGCGGAGGCGTTCAAGGTTGAGTTCTGGGAGGCGGAAGCACCGAAGAATACGGCAGCGCCATTGGACCCGACGGAATTCAGTATGGAACGATCGGTGACGCTATCGATTCATCAAGGTTGATCGATCGACGCGGTGTCAAGAACATGTGCGCGCGCTGACGCCGCACGAACCTACCATATGGGGGAGGGGGGAGGGCTTCTTAGAAGCACGCCTGCTTCTCAGAGGGCGCGGGCCTTATCTGTAGATGTAAGGCCGTCGCCTTCTAAGAAGCAGCCTTCTTCTAAGAAGCCCTCCCCCCTCCCCCCACCCCGTTGTGCGCGCCGCCAAGAAGAAGAGAGCCACTCCGAGGGTCGAGTTCTCTCGCCTCGAACCCAGAGCCCCTCCCAGAGGTCCGAGGCTCCGAAAAGGCTGGAGCGGGCGGCTTTCAGCCTCTGTGGGCACTCGGCGGGCCCCGGGACCGTCAAGCGGCGTGCCAGGATAATTGAAAGCCGGCCCCCGGGAAGCGGTCCAGACCTTTGGGGGTCACGCGGAAGAAATTGGAGCGCCGGATGCCTAGGCTTACGTCGGGCGTGTCCCTCTACAGGAGGGACATTCAAAAATAGTCCTAAAACTAGTCAGGGGACGATTTTTGAGTAGTTCTGATCATTTTGGGGTATTTTTTGGGTTCGTCCAAGATCCCCCTGTAGGGCAGTCTTGAGACTGGCAGTCTCGAGACGTTGTCAGCCTCTGGGGGCGCTCGCCTGGCCCCAGGACCGTAACAGGAACAGCTCGGGGCGAAAAGCCAGTCCCAGGGAATGGGTCTAGATCTCTGCGAGTCGGGGCGGTTGAGAGTGGGTGGGGGCATTGACGTTGTGAACAAATCGTGAAGTCCAGGGTCAGGGAAGAAGGATCAATTGCAGAAGCATAAAGTGTCGAGGTCCGCGCGGACATCTTGGATCGGCGCCAGGCCCATCTTCTGCTTCTGCTTCTTCTTCTGTCGCTGTCCTGGGAGCCCCTCGAGTCGTGAACAAAAAAAGGGAAGACCGCCAGTGGGTGCCCCTCTAATTGACAAGGTGGAGGGAGGGGCGTCCGATTTTCGATTTCCAGGGGGCGGGGAGGGTTTCGACCACTCCCCCCTCCTTTCTGAAGGAAAGGGGGGTGTCTGGGACGACGGACCGAGAAGGGGGGGGGCGGCCCAGGTCGACGGACCAGGAGGGTAAGGGCGCGGGGAGGGTCCCGGACCCCCCCGCCCCCTCATGGGGCATCCAGCGGCGCTTCAGATCTGTATCCAGACATTCCAAGAGCGACCGCTTCGGAGAGTTTGCGCAGAGGGTGCGCAAAACCGCGGCGGGATCGTGCCGCGTTTTATCAAGCTCGGCGCAATCCCGTTCGGGGTTTCCATCCATACTTTTGCTGCAGACTTTGCCGCGTCCCATATACCGACCTCAGAGGCACGATGTGATGCATGTTTACGTGGATTCGGGACCCCGCTGTAGGGGAATATTGAAAGTGGCAACGCCTCCGATCTGCGAAGTCGAACGCAACCTGCCTCGAGCCCCTCCACAGGCTCCACGTGGCAACCCTAAAACTTTGCAAAGGGTTTTCGTCAGCCTGCTAGGGGTCCGCGTTGTGAGCAAATCCTGACGTCGGGGGTCTGGGCCTGTCCCATGCCACCCGCGGGGGCGCGAAGATGGGCGCACCTCGCGCACCGCGGGTTTGGGCTGGAGGATGCTGCCGAGGCGCCCTTCTCCGTGGCCCGCCTGGAGCAGGACGAGCCATCTGACCCATCTGCGTGGCCGATCTTGAGGATCATGTTTACCTTTGTTTTTTGGGGACTTTTCATATCGATCTGCCGCCTCTGATATCGATAGAACTGCTCTCTCGGGGGCCACAATAACGATGTATGGCGGCGGTGCCGCTCCTATAAATTAACCTGCGGGGGGCTCCGAATCAACAAATATCAGCTTTTCTGAGTGCCGCAACGACGTAAGTTCAGCCGTCGCAAGCGTGATATTACTTGGTGATCGAGCCTCCTTCTCTTCGTATGTTTCATTCTTCCTCCTCTAGCCTCCCACCTCCTGTTCCTCCCGTTTCCTCCTCAGCATCCCGTCTTCCCTTTTCCCTCCTCCTCCTCATCTTCCCTCCTCCTCCTCCTCCTACTCCTCCTCCTCTCCCTCCCTCTTCCGTTCCCTCCTCCTCCCACCTACAGTCGCCGCGGCCCGAGGGTGGCGGGGTGAAGGACCCCCCCCCTCCCCCCTTGGCCTCGAAGAACAAACCCCGCGCCCCATATCCTCGAGTGGCCTCAGAAACAGCCTCAGCACAAGCGGGAGGACGGCAGGGAGAGGCGACGTGGCTGGTTTGTTCAGCCATTCTCTCGTCCTCCTCCCTCCTCCTCCTCGTCCTCCTCATCCTCTTCCTCCTCCTCGCAATTCTTCTCCGCTCTCTCCTCCTCATCATCTTCCTCTGCCTCTCTCATCCCTGCCTCCCTTCGCCCTCCTCCCACTCCTATGCGCTGATCCTGTTACCCTGCCTTCCCGCCCCTCCCTTCCGTCTCCTCCTCCTCCGCATTCCTCCTCATCCGTCATCCTTCTCCTCATCCTTCGCATCCATCCCCATCGTCCTCCATCATCTCCCAATAGTTGCCTACTCAAGCTATGCATTCGGAGCAGTGGCCGTCCACCGTTTACCGCAAACGAACCTTCTCCCTCATCCCTCTATCATGCCTCCTCCCTCCTCCCTCACCCACCTCACCCTTTCAAACGCCCTTGCTCAAGCATGTGCTGACTCGGGAAACGGCTCAAGCATGCACTGACCCAGGGGCCAAGGCCTACTTGCGGGCCCACTGTCAACGATAACGAGGTTCCAACTCCTCGACTTGACCCCCTCCCTGCGCCACTGTCGGAACTGAGCGGGTCAACTGGCGGTGGCTCGACATTTCTTCCGTGCGCGCCGAGCAGCGGAGTGAGCGGCAACCGAGGTCAAGATAGGGCGGCACCCGCCGCGGGCTTCTCGATTGGGTGTGTGGCGGGGGGGGGGGGGCGCGCCATGCCCCATGCGACGCCACATATGATGTGAACGCCCCCCTCCCTCCACTATGCCACTGCGCTGCAAGCTAAAAAAAATAATTATGAATCGAACTGATTCTGGAGAAGGCGTTGCCCGTCGTCCACATGAAGCTGACACGAAGCAGAAAAGGCACTCGGAGTAGCGTGGGCACTGGAACGCATTGGCAACCCCTGGGCCCTAGCGTCAGGCCCCTGAGAAACGCAACCCTCGGTGTTCGAAGTAGGAGTGCGCTTAATGGCATCGGGGGGATGGCTGGGGATCTGACGACACTTGCCCCCAACAATTGGCGAAGGTGGGCTGCTAAGTGGGAGGGGGGCGAGGCTGAACCCAATGAACATGCACGCCCTATTGAGAAGGCCGTACGGTCGGGGCCGCCGACCCTGAATGGCGGCGACGACGACGACGACGAGCGTTCTTGGGGGCCTCTTGGGGGTAATTTGTGGGCCTCTTGGGAAGCTCTTAGGGGCCGCTTGGAAGCCTCCTGGGGGCCTCTTGGGGCTTCCTGGGGGTCTCTTGGAGGGGGCCTGGGACGTCTTGGAGGTTGGAGGCGAGCTGAACCCAATGAACATGCACGCCCTATTTCATTAGAAAGCTCAAGGGCACCTGCGGATCCTTCCGCGGAGCCTTGGAGAACTTCGAGTCGTCCCAGTCGGCCATGCGCTTGCGGGTGCATTTCATCAGGGGCGTGACGTCTTCCAGCGTCTTCAGGAAGGGAATGGTGTAGTGGTACGTGCACTGGATGCCGGCATGGTCCTTGGCAGTGATCTGGATCTCCTTGTAGTTGACCTCGTGAGTCGGCAACGGCACAGCCGCGGCAGCGGCTGCCCTCTTCCGCTCAAGGGTGTCGTCCGTGTCTTTTGCGGTCGGAGTGACGTTCTTTGGAGGTGCCGTCGGAACGATGAGCCAGGGGCAGCAGAAATCGGACCTCAAGTGGTTCATGAACTTCGTGCCGTCGAGGTAGAGCTCGGGGCCGCGCGTGCCCTTTGAGCCGACGATCCCGTTGCCGAGGGGCATCGCGAGCTCTTTCTTCAGATTCTTCACATCCCTGTCGTCCACCACCCTGCCCCAGTAATACATCACCTCCGACTTGGACTTCTGAGGTGGCGCGCTCTCGAAAGCGACACTTGCCATGGCACCGCCCTTCGTCGACTTCTCCTCCACGGTGATGCTGATATTGTCGTACATGTCGTCCTTGTAAGGGATGCTCGTCATGTTCTCATTGATGGCGACCTGCAGCTTCCCCATGATCTCCCGAGCGTGCGCGCACACGATGTTCTTGGCAACGTCGGCGTCCTTGAGTTCCGTATCGATCGCTTTCAGCATCGAAGCTTTGAGCGTAAGAGGGGGTGTTCTTGGCAGACATTTGCCATCGCCGCCAGCTGTGCTGGCTGCATGGGCGGGGCCCTTGACAGCAACCGCCGCCGCCCGCTGCCTCTCCGTCTCGACGTGGCCCGCCAACTTCTCCAACACAACAGCGCCGCACTCAGGTCCAAGCAGTGCCCTAGTCAAGATGATCTCCTGGTGGCTGGCATCGTAAAGCTTTTCGGCCTTGCGAACGAAGTCGTTCCTGAACGTGATGAAGTTGGCAGGGAGGTCAATGTTGTCCAAGCCGCGCGTCGCCTTCACGATGGCGATGGCCTCATCTCGGGACGCGGAGTGCAATGACTTCAAGAGCTCCGCCTTCGAGGCCTCGTAGCCGTTGGCGTCGTGAAGCTGGATGTGGTCGCACAGCGAATGGACGACTTGCCCGAACATGTTTGCGATGTCAACGAAAGAGCGGCCGTCGGCGAACAGCTCGAGGGTCACCTTCGGGCCTGGCAGCTGCGAAAAGCTTGCACTCCCAGTCGCGTGGCCGAGTTTGCTGGTGTCGACGGAGTCTCTGATGGCGCCCGACGCCCTCTGGGCCCATGGCTGGACCAGCGGGCCGTGAAAAGGTTGCTTGCCATCTCGGCTATCACTCGGCGGCGAGATGATGCACGACTGGTGCCCGATGCACGTCGCCACGTGCATGAGGGAGCCGAACTTCACGCACTTCAACGCGACTTCAGTTCCATCGGACATTTTTTCCCAGGGGCTGTTCCTCGGAATGATCAGCTTGCTTCCAAGGGCGGTCTTGATCTCTCCGAAAACGACGGCCACGCGAATCCACGCATCAGGGACAACGTCCTCGATACACTTGGCCGAGGCCGTCATGAAATACACAGTTGCCTCCTTCTGATTTGTGGGCAGGTCGCCAGCAGTTCCTGTAGCCTGGGCGCAGGCGATCGCACCCACGCTCTGCCCGATGATCGGCCTTAAAGAGAAGGGTGGGAGAGGAACGATGCTTGCCTGGTCAGCCCTCCGCGGGCCCCCTCGGACAGCCGCGCGTTCGGGCCTGTAAACGTAGTTTTTTTCTACCACGCTCGTTGGTGCGATTTCGGGAATTGCACCAACGAGCCTGGTAGAAAAAGTACCCCAAAAAACGACGGCCGCGAGAGGGCAAGGGAGGGGGGTGGAGGAGGGCCCCAGAGGAGAGGAGAAGGTGGGAGGGGGCGACGACGCGCCTGGCCGAAATGGGCACCGCGTCCATGTTCGCCGCGAGGAACTCAACGATCTTGGACGCAGTGCCCGACTCCGCCTCGAAGAACTCAGACACGCGGTCCATGTCCCACCCGCGGTCGGCGATCGCCTTGTTGCCGTCCACCGCGTCGCCGCCATCGACCAAGTCTGGGTCTGACACGCGAGGTGCCAACTTGGCCATCTTGTATACGTGGAGTTTGGCCCATCGAACAAGCTCAGTCCAACCTTTAACCTTCTTGACCTTTCCATCAACTAGGAGCTCGACTGACGTCGTGTTGGCCATGATCATGTAAAGGCCGATGGACATCATGCTGCGGATGCCGTCCTCCTGGCGGCTGTCGATACTCACCAATCTGTCAACGGTGTGCTTCCAATGGTCAAGCGCGTCGCAGTCGGCCTCGTCGGCGTCGAACTGGAAGCTGGGCGCGCCCATGTCGGGAACTGCTTGCTGCTGCTGGACAGCATTGATACCAGCTGAAATTGATGCCGATCGCCCCCTGCCCCTGCTGCTGCGGCCACGGGCCCTGCCTCTGCCCCCGCTCTCGCCGCGACCCCTGCTCGAAGTTGGCGGTGTATCAGGGCTATCTTGCTGGAGAATCTTTGCGGCACCCACCTTCGACAACAAGCGCAGCATCATGTCATCCGTGATCTTGATGCGGTCCACGCCCTCACAAATCGCGGAAGCCCCCGCGCGTTTTTTGAGGGGCAACCCGAATGCCAGCACGCTCGTGATCATGTCGGGGTGGTCATGCTTGAGCCTCGAGAAAACTAGCTTCACTACGCCGAACACTTCGGAATGCTGCTGGGCAAAAGGGTGCTTGAATTCGACGCGCTTCTGGGAGAAAGATACGAAGTCATCCCACACGCTGACCTTCGCGGCCGCGTCGACCGTGTATTTCTTGGACTCGTCGAAGAAACTGATCATAGTGGTCAGCGCCGTGGGGTTCGGCCAGCGACCAGGGTGGATCTTCTCGGCAACCTTAAATCTAGCGACGTTGTACTTGTTCTGGCCACCCACAGAAGCAACAGTCGCACCAGGGTTCTCCACCTTGTAGCGCGCCACGACATCGCGAGTGGACCTGCATACCTGTAAATAGGTCGTCGCCGTCGCCTCGGTGTTGACCTCGTTCTTGTAGTCGACGTAAAACTTGCACACCGCATCAGGCGTGTCCTTGAAGAGAAGCCTGCAGCCCATTATGGGCTTAGAGAGCGACTCCACCAACATCTTGTTCGTGTTGAAGTCAGGGCGGGCATAGCATTGCTTAGCCCCTTCAATGAGGGTGGCCCAGTCCAGCGCCATGAAGCGCTCCCCCACTGCGGTGTCATCTCCTTCTGGCGGCTCAATGAGAGTAGGCGGCGCCCGAACCTCCATGATGCCGTGCTTCCACACAGACGCTGCCCTATCGTCGATGGAGCCCTCGTCACCACGATCGTTCCTGGGGTCCCGATCCACCGCGAAGACTCCCTCCCGAATGAGCGTCACTGTCTTCTTCGGGTCCTTTGTGTAGAGGGCATCCGATATTATCTTCAGTTGGGCCACGTCCAAGTCAGTGCCAAACATGTCCCTAATTGTGAACGCATCGTTATTCCAAATGTTCGGGAACCTCTTCATAGCAAGGGCGACCAAGAGATCCTTGTTATAGCCTGCTGCTCTGGACTCTTCAGATTGAACAACACCCGCTGAAGGCACAACTGCAGCAGACTGCCCATCTGGTGACGACATCACACTGGCTCGCTGATGGATTGCAATTCCACTGAATATCACCGTGAGCGATACAAAGATTGCTTGAGCTGAAACGGTTACGGAGAGTTAAGGTGACGGTACCCAGCTTCCGCCATTTACTGTTGCAGGCAGTTGCGATGACCAAGGCATGTTGAATGCAGCCGGCCTTGTTTCATATCGATCTGTTTCATCATCATAATATTCTTCCCCTCCTCCTTCTCCTCCTCCTCCTTCCCTCTCCCCCCCCCTGCATATGGAGCCCCTCCATATCGATCGGGATGCATCTGGAGCCTTTCCATATCGATCGGGATGCATATGGAGCCATTCCATATCGATCGGGATGCATATGGAGCCCTTCCATATCGATCGGGATGCATATGAGGCCCTTCCATATCGATTGGGATGCATATGGAGCACTTCCATATCGATCGGGATGCATATGAGGCCCTTCCATATCGATCGGGATGCATATGGAGCCCTTCCGTATCGATCGGGATGCATATGAGGCCCTCCATATCGATCGGGATGCATATGAGGCCCTTCCATATCGATCGGGATGCATATGAGGCCCTTCCGTATCGATCGGGGTGCATATGAGGCCCTCCATATCGATCGGGATGCATGTGGAGCCCCTCCATATCGATCGGTATGCATATGAGGCTCTCCATATCGATCGGGGTGCATATGGAGCCCTTCCATATCGATCGGGATGCATATATGGGTCCCTCCATATCGATCGGGATGCATATGGGGCCCCTCCATATCGATCGGGGTGCATGTGAGGCCTCAGGGAGCCTGGTAGTCTCAAGAGGGCCTAACACAGCATCAACGGTCCCAGAAGTGTTTCAAAAAGTAATTACTCCAACACGGTGGAGGAGTGAAGGCGACACGATTGCTAACTTTTTTTTTGCCCAGCGCACGCTCGAGCCAAAATACATATGAGCCAAAATTGCGACGGACGTCAGTAAGGGGCGTTTTCTTCAACGCAAACTCGGCAGCCCCGAAACAAGACAGCCTCTGGAAACGGTGTCCCGTTGCCTGGGCCACGTCGATTTGATGCCTCCCGATGGGTTTGACCAACGTGGTTCTCCCGATGGGTTTGGCCAACATGGTTCTCACGATGGTTTTGACCAACGTGGTTCTCCCGATGGGTTTGACCAACGTGGTTCTCCCGATGGTTTTGACCAACGTGGTTCTCCCGATGGTTTTTACCAACGTGGTTCTCCCGATGGGTTTGGCCAACGTGGTTCTCCCGATGGTTATGACCAACCTGGTTTTCCCGATGGGTTTGGCCAGCGTGGTTCTCCCGATGGTTTTGACCAACGTGGTTCTCCCGATGATTTTGACAAATGTGGTTCTCCCGATGGGTTTGGCCAACGTGGTTCTCCCGATGGTTTTGACCAACGTGGTTCTCCCGATGGCATTGACCAGCGAGCGTCAAGAATAGGAAAAACGATGTAGAGCGGTAGAGGTGGAGGAGGAGGATGAGGAGGAGGAGGATAGGGCATAGGGTGACGGAGAGGAGACGAGGAGGAGGACGAGCAGGAGGAGATGGAGATGGACGTGGAGGTGGATTCTGGACAGCGAGAAAGGTTCCCACCTCCACCAGCCCACTTCGCTCTCCCAGCCTACCCCCTCCAGACGGGGAGAGGAGAGGCTAGACGGGTCAGGACTTGATTGCTTCGTCTACTCCCCCGCTCTGTCGCAACATTGGCTCATGCTCGATTGCTCAAGGCTGCCCAGGCTGCCGCGCGCCTGGCGCGAGAGAAACAAGTTGGCGCTATGCATCGCCTGTGCAACACAGAGGGCACGCCCACGACTCTGCTGCGAAAGCTGGCCTTGCGAATCCCGAAGGGACGCCCGCAGCAACATGCACAAAATGTGCGCAACGCGCGTGCCAACATGACGTGCAGCGGAAACACATGAACACGTCCTCACTTGCGGGAAGGGGTGCCACGCCTATGGCGTGCTCCTGCAGGCTTGAGCACAGCAAGCAAACGCATGCCTCACTCGTTGCACCCTGCGGTCCAGCGTACAACTTGGCATTCTCTGCCGACCCGAGCAATCTAACCCAGGCTGGCATCATCTCTGCATCCTCCGTTCTCTTGCGCTTAAGGTACACAGCAGGAATGTTCGCCACAATCACCCTTGCATCTCGAAGCGAACGGCTAGGGTTATCTTTGTAAATGAGTGCTTTGATGTGGCCCCGTGGCCATAAAGTCAGAGTCCTACCCATCTTCGAATCAGGGTTCTCCCAATATACATATCCGCCAGCCAATAGTGGCCACGTGGCTGGGCCTTAGCTGCTGGGTCGTGCCATGCCCTTCCGAAGCTAAGGAAAGCGACAGCCCCGACAGTTCTCCGATCGATCCCCATAGCGCCTCGAGAACATTGGCCCTTCCCAGAAGAGGCAACCACTGAGTGCATCGGGGTGCGTGGGAACCATCCAACAGCCACTCCCCCCACCCCCCAAGAATTGACCCTCTTGGGCCGTAGATCTGCCGAAGGCGGGTGTCGCCGCTAGGCGTCGTGATTGAACGTTGCGATCGCTAGTTTCGACTAATGACATCCCGCCTTTCCTGGGCGGCCTCAAATGGTCGGGCTCCCTCGATTTGTCGAAGGCCTCCACAACTCGCGCTCGCATCGCTTCCCGCGTCGACGCGACAGCTGCCAATGCAGCCGCCCGCGTCTCGGGGCTGCTGGCTACGAGCGGGATGTCAGGGCCAGGGGTGCCGCCGTCGCCGCCGCTGCCGCTGCCTGTGCAGTCGGGCGGTTCAGGGCCTGCGACGCCGAGGCCGTCGGCCGTGAGGATCACGTCGTCTGGCGATGCTGTTGCGCCGCCGTCGTCGTCGAAAACGTCCGCGGTGTCGACATCCTCGTAGAGACCCGCGTTCTCGTCCATCAGCGTCGCGAGATCGTGGCCGACGTCGCCGTCGCCCTCTATGCCCTCGAGGTCATGGGCGGGAGCTTCGTCAGCTGGCGCGGCTGGTGCCGGTGCTGGCGCGGCCGCGCCAGCGCCCGCGGGCGCAGCCTTGGCCGTCTTGAGAGCCATCGTGAGCCGTTGGTGCCCGCTGTTCTCAGAGCTCACAGCCGCCACGCCGTTGGACCACGAAAGCGATCTCCAGACCAAGTAGACAGGCTTCTTTGGGTGATCCTTGTATGTGCGGAGGAAGTCGATGCTATAGCAATAATCGAGCAGCGGGATTGGGTCTGGCCATCCTTCGTTCAACTTGAAAATCAAATTGCCTGCCCCGTCGTCGGAGCACACTCCCCTGCGAACAGTTACTTTGGTTCCATACGTAAAAGCCACAACAAACCCAGCAGTGATGACGTGCCCAGCCTTGTCGCTGATATCGTAGACAAAATCGGGGAGCTCGTCCACGATATGGTAAGCAGACAGCGCAGCCCTCGCGCAGTATAGCTTGTCGACTGGAGACACATGGGCGCACGACTCTACGAGCTTCTTCTCTGACGGCAACCCGCCGCCACCGACTGGGACCACGGCGCGGCAAAGGCGTTCTCGGTGCCATGCCGTGTCGGCCAGCACCGTTGCCTCGGAGCGAGGGCCGAGAGAAGAGAATGAGCCAGGAGAAAGATGCAGGAAAGGAGAAGGATGAGCGGGGTGCCTGCTCATCAAGATAGCAGCAATCCTCCACGGTCAACCTGAACTGCCTACTCTTGATGATCATGCGAGCGTTGGCCGTGGACGCTTTCATCGCTGGGGCTCGGTTAGCCATGCATTGAATCACGTTGTTGAAGCCCTCGATGTCTTGAGTGTGCCCTGATATCGAAGCCCTCAGCGACAAGCAGAAGCCGTACAACGCATGGTGGCATATGCCAAGTTCCTTGGCCACTCCGATCTCTGCGCGAAATGCTGCCTTGAACTTTATTGCAAAGTCTGAGAACTCATCCTGCAGACAACAATCGTCAGTATCTAGCAACGCGGACGCCACCTCCCTCCGACGTGGACAATCAATGTCTGCAGACTTCTCGCAGAACGCAAGGGCCGCCAAAGGAAACGATGAGCACATCTTTGTGAACCGCATGTGCCACTGGGCCTGCGCCTTCAAGGTAAGCGCCATGATTAGGAGATTCGCCCGTGGAAGAGCAGCAGGAGGGAGTTCTGAAAGAGGGCCGCCCCATAGATCTGTAGCGCGAAACGCAGCAGGGTCCATCAACGCACGTATCTGACCAGCGACCTCCTTCGCCTTAAACTGCACAAGGTCGGAAACAAACGTCGGGCCGAAGTACGACTGCCCATTCGCGACGGCATCGTCTTGATACTTGTTTGTTTCCCGAATGCGCTTCTGGGCCCAATTGAAATATCCCACCAGAGGATTCTTCGCAATGAGCGAAGCGGCCACCATGAATTGGAAACGACGGTCCCCCGACATAGCGCATGCGTTTGATCTCATGGCCTTGGCGTGCGCCTGGTAGGCTGCGTCTTCATCGCCGCCGACTGCTGCGATGGTGACCTTCTTTTTATTCACATCCATCCACCTGCGGAGCACGGCGTGGACTAGCGGAAGCCTGCCCATCAAGAAAGCCTCGACGTCATCCATAGACCCCCATCGCCCCCGAAGGCATCGACTGGGCACGGTCGAGAAGTTGTTAGTCGCAACCTCGTCATCAAAGAGATCGACGGCCACGTCCCGCAACTTGCTCAGCATGCCAGTCGACCTCCAAAAGCCAGAAACCGCAGACACGCCAGAAAAATACTTCACCTGCATTGGTCCGTCTGGCCACTCGAATGCATCCAACGTTTTCAACATGCTTAGGACGATGAGGTGGTATTGGTGAAACAAGCAGAACGTTTTGAGTATGAAGAGTGTCGGGATGGGCGAAGCAAGGTTGCGCAGCATCCTCATCATCCCCTGATTGTCGCCGCCAGCGTCGAGACCTGTAGGGAA